CCAACAAGTAAAGCCTTAGACTTGGTGAATCGGCATCCATTCTAGCTCACATAGGTAGATCTTTTCAAATTGTGTTCTGCAATTAAACACTTTATCAAAAGATCTATTAAGACATAGTCAACCTCATTACACATTGCAGTCTCAAGCACTTACCTCGGGATGGTTAATATTCATAAGTGCTTCAACCACGGAGTGACTTACTCATCATCATTGAACTCAAGATCTAGCGTTGTACTAGACGTTGAGTTGCGCTTTCTTTCACTTGTGATTATTTTCCAAGGGCTTTAACCCCATCCCTTTTGCAGTTTTGTACACCATGTCTCTTGGCATCGCTTTTGTAAAAGGATCCGCCAAATTCACATGCGACCGTACAAAATCAATCACAACAACTCCAGAACTAATAAGTTCCCGCACATAGCTGTGTCTCACTCCTATGTGCCTTGACTTACCATTGTACACATGGTTATAAGCTTTTGATAGAGTTGATGCACTATCACAATGGATTAATATCGGAGGCATTGGTTTAGGCCATATCGGAATTTCCGACACTAAATCCTTTAGCCATTCCGCTTCTTTACAAGCTGATGCTAAAGCTATAAACTCTGAAGCCATGGTAGAGTCTGTGATACAAGTTTGTTTCTTAGATGCCCATGATATAGCACCTCCTCCAAGAAGGAATAACCATCCACTTGTGGATGAATAATCCTCTTGATTAGTTATCCAACTTGCATCCGTATAACCTTCTAATATAGAGGGTTCACTCTTATAACATAAGCCGAAGCTCATTGTTTTCTTTAGATATTTCAGCACTCGCTTCAAGGCTTGCCAATGAAATATACTAGGATTACTAGTATATCTACTTAGCTTTCCTACCGCAAATGCAATATCTGGCCGGGTGCTAGTCATTGCATACATCAAACACCCAATCACCCTAGCATATTCAAGCTGTGATACAGCGTTCCCATTATTTGGAACTAATTTCCAACTAGGATCCATGGGAGTGGAAACCGGTGAATAATCCAAACTCCCAAATCTTTTCAACACTTTCTCTATATAGTGAGATTGTGTTAAGGTGATAGTATCACCTTGCTTGATTATCCTAATTCCAAGGATAACTTCCGCTTCACCCATATCTTTCATGGAGAAGTTTGAACAGAGGAAAGCCTTTGTCTCATTTACTTGCCTCAAATCAGTGCCAAATATGAGCATGTCATCCACATATAGACAGATAATGACACCATTACCATGCTCATTAAATTTGCTATACACGCACTTGTCTGATTGGTTAATTTTAAAACCATTTTTCAGCACCACTTCATCAAATCTTTGATGCCATTGTTTAGGTGCTTGTTTCAGACCATACAAGGACTTAACAAGTTTACAAACTTTCTTTTCTTGTCCTTTAACAACAAACCCTTCAGGTTGTTTCATATACACCTCCTCCTCCAATTCACCATTTAAGAATGCAGTTTTGACATCCATTTGGTGAATTACAAGATTGTGAATAGCCGATAAAGCAATTAACAATCTTATGGTAGTTATTCTAGCTACCGGTGCATATGTGTCAAAGTAATCAATACCATGTTTTTGTTTAAAGCCTTGTGCAACCAATCTAGCTTTAAACTTGTCAATGGTACCGTCTACTTTCATCTTCTTCTTGAAAATCCATTTACAACCGATTGGTGTGCAACCGGGTGGTAAATCACTTAGAACCCAAGTATTATTGCCCATGATTGAATCCATTTCATCATTCACGGCCTCTTTCCAGAAGGAAGCATCTTGTGATTTCATTGCCTCCTCAAAAGAGTTAGGATCTTCCTCAACACTATAGCAATATAGTGTTTGAGTTTCAAGGGTGTCTCTTGATCCCTCAACCAAATATAATTGGAAATCGGGACCAAAAGATTTTTCTTTTCTAGCCCTCTTACTTCGTCTTATTTCAGGCTCATTTTCATGATCCTTTTCCAGTTCATGTAAGTGTGAATTACTTGGACCGGGATCAACATCCTTTGGCCTAGGAATAGAAGTGAACCGCTTCTCATAAAAAAGAGCATCCCTAGACTCAATAACAGTGTGAACCGCAATTGAGTCATTCGGTTCAATTACATAGAATCGATAAGATTTACTATGTTCAGCATATCCAATAAATATGCACTCTACCCCCTTTTCACCTAACGTTTTTCGTTTAGGTTCCGGCAATCTCACGATTGCCCTACAACCCCATACCCTAAGATAACTTAGTTGGGGTGTTCTTTTGTGCCAAAGTTCATATGGGGTAATCTTATTTTTCTTGTTAGGCACTCTATTAAGAATATAACAAGCAGTTAACATAGCATCACCCCAAAATCCATTACTTAAGCCAGAATTAGACAACATGGAATTAACCATTTCTTTCAAAGTTCTATTCTTTCTTTCAGCAATGCCATTTTGTTGCGGCGTGTAAGGGGCTGTTGTTTCATGGATTATTCAAACGGATTCAAAAAACTTAGGCTTATAATATTCTCTCCCTTTGTCAGTTCTAAGCCTTTTTACTTTCTTTCCTGTTTGCAACTCAACTTCCGTTTTAAAAACTTTAAATTTATCCATTGCCTCATCTTTTGAAAATAAAAGATACATATAACAATATCTTGTGCAATCATCAATAAATGTGACTACATATTTTTTATTTCCAAAAGAAGGAGTGCTATGGAAATCACACAAATCACTATGCACTAATTCAAGCATGTTGGATTTTCTTTCAACACTTTGAAAAGAATTTCTAGTGATTTTGTTTAACATGCAAGTTCTACATTTTTCTATGTTAATATTAAAAGGAGGAATTAATCCTACTTTTGACATGTCACTTAATCTACGATAATTAACATGACATCCATATAAACGGAATTAACAACTTTATTTACAACACTTAGTTTGAACATGCCATTACAATAGAAACCTTGGCCTACAAATACACCACCCTTAGATAAAATAAACTTATTTGCTTCAAAGCTAAGTTTAAACCCAAAGTTATTTAGGATGCCACCGGAGACAAGATTTTTCCGGATTTGTGGTACAAAGTACACATCATTAAGAATTAATTTCTTTCCGGAAGTTAATTCCAACTCTACTTGGCCAATTCCTTGAATTTGAACAGTAGAATCATTTCCCATGTATAAGATCGGCCCTTCTTCCAACTCTTTTAGAGTCTTAAAAGTCTGCCTATCTTTACATACATGTCTTGTGGCTCCGGTGTCAATCCACCAAGATTCATCATCCTGCACAACACAAATTTCAGAAAGCATAGCTACAAAAATCATGTTGTTATCAACATCATTTGTAACTACAAAAAGATTCTGACCTTGGTTGTCTTGGCCACCGTTAGGATGGCCATTCAATTGGGCCTTTTTCTTCTTCACCTTCGGGCAGTCCCTCTTGAAGTGTGGACCACCACATTCCCAACAAGAGCCTACTTTCTTATCTTTCGGCTTCTTTTGAAACTTGGAACCTTTGGTGAATTTCCCGGGACGTTTTTTATATTTCTTAGTCCCACTTGACTGTCCCTCCTCCATAACATTTATAGAGGAAATTGGAAGGTCGCTCTTTTTACCATTGTCACCTTCACGCAACTTAATGCCTTCTTCAATTTGAAGTCGGCGGCCAAGTTGCTCCATTGACAAATCCTCCTTTTTGCGTTTGAGACTATTTTTCACTTCCTTCCATGAAGGGGGTAATTTGTCGATTATAGAACCGACAGCAAAGGTTTCATTGACATGCATGTTGTGTATCAAAAGTTGATCATATAAACGTTGAATTTCATGAAATTGCTCCATGACCGGACGAGAATCAACCATTTTGTAACTATTAAAGTTACTAATGAGAAATTTCTTACTCGAAGCATCCTCGGTCATGTACTTAGATTCTAGGGACTCCCACAACGTTTTAGCATATTCAACATTTTGATACACATCAAATAGAGAATCACACATACCATTCAAAATGTGCCCACGACAAATGTAGTCGTCGTTGTCCCACTTTATGCGGCGGCGGCTTGTTTCCAAAGTCTCGTTTTCATCATCCTCGGGCGGCCTCGGGGTGCTTAACACATAGACGACCTTCAAAGTAGTGAGCAGAAAATGCATCTTTTTCTGCCACCTTCGGAACTCCACACCTTCAAACTTTTCCAATTTTTGAAAATTGGTGTTGATGATATCGCGTTGACTAGCGGCCATATTTTCAGAATAGTAAACTTTTAGATTGTTAGAACTGGAGGATAACAATGGTGAAATATAAGGGTATGAAATATGGCTGGACCGGATATCACTTCTAGTCACGTATTAAATACGCTTTCCTAAAAGTTTACTATCTACCCTTATCACAGTAACCGGGTTACAAGATAGAACTTTTGGGATAAAAAGAAGGTGTACAGTGTATTTTGGTTACTCACAAAATAACACTAAACAAGTGATATGTATATAAAGTGGTCTAAGTATTCTATCACTATTACTGCAGTTAATAGAAATAAAATATGGCAAAGCAAGAGAGCAAGTGTTTTTCATACGTATATGCATAACATGATCCTTCCGTTATTTATAAGTAATTGATAACTCTTGTAAAAGGGGTAGTTTTCAAAATCAACCGAAGTGTTTATTCATGAACGGCTGTGCACGCAAGCCTTCTTCGTAAAGAAGCGAAAGCATCTGTTCATAAAGAACACGTACACTTAAGCCAGTTATTCAACTAAAGAATTTATTTTAATATATAAAATGCACACTTGCTAAATCAGCCGCAAAGTGGCATCAATTAAAATAAAACTTTAGTGATTGAAATGGACAAAAAACCTTACGTAATTATGTAATATTATTATTAGTATTATGAGAATATATGATATCACGTATAGAACCATATATAGTGCTCATAATGCTAAATAAAAACATTACAATAAAAAAAACGTAGTATTCTTTTTCATAACAAAATTGGATAAGGACCATGTAAATAAACATTGAAGATTTATTTTTCAATAAATCACCAACATAGAGGAGGGGGCGAAGTGTATGCGACATCTAAGAGCGATGAACTGGTGCGTCGTCTTTGAGCGGCAGAACGGCGGTTCGTCTAAGTAAGATGGATCAGTGACTTATCCAAGACCAGCGGCGGCGCGACGACTTGTCCCAGAGCAGGGGATATGAGAGGGAGGGAATGAAGTAAAAGATACGGGAAATGAAATGAAATTGTAAAAAAAATAGAGTATATATATACTGTACAGTTTGTGTACACTTGTACCCCAAGCAAAATTGAACACCCGCCGTGGGCACCCTAAAAACGAACCAAAACCATGCGCAGATTCAGACCTGTATCCGCCATGGGCAGCCTTTTACTCCCCTGTCATACTGCCTTCACACTCACCCACTTCCCAGCCTTCTCTTATCCGCGACTTCATCTTTCTCACATCATTTCTTATTCCCTGCGCCCACTATCAATATCTTCGTCCTCTGCAACTTCTGTCATCTCGTCGCCTCCTTTCTTGAGATCGGAGCACCCCGTCGACCCTAAGTACCTCTCATGCTCACTACCGGATAAGAGTCCTCTCAAGCTGGCAGTTCTGGTTAGCGGTGGGGTTGATAGCAGCGTCGCTCTCCGCCTTCTCCACGCCGCAGGACACTCCTGCACAGCATTCTATCTAAAAATATGGTTCCAGGTGCGCTCACGTGTTTATTGAAGTTATATATTGAATCAAGTTCATGTTTTCTGGGTAAAAATTGAATCTTTTTCAGCAAATTTATGCTAAAGAGTACGCATTCATAACATTGAGTTCAATCCCATAGGAAGACTTTGAGAACTTCTGGTCTGAGTGTCCATGGGAGGAGGATCTGAAATATGTAAAAGCTGTCTGTGATCAGGTTCCTCTCTACCCTTTTTTCTATGCCTTTTTAATTGGTCATCTATTGGATCACATCTTTTCCTTTCTAACATTAAATGACACTTGAATTCAGGTTGACGTCCGTCTGCAGGTTGTGCATTTGACTGATGAGTATTGGAATAATGTGGTATGTTAATGTTTATGCCTTTAAACCTTTGTATTTGTGGTGATATTCTGATATTTTTTTGATGGTGTGTTACCTGTATTTGTGGTTTTGAATTGCTTATAAAATTAGTTTGTGGTAAAGGATGGGGTTGTGCAGGCAAATGAGGGCTTAAAACGGGTCAAGTTAGATAAAGACTGATGTGAAAGAGAAGTTTAGCCCATTGATACAACTAGATGGGGGGGGGGGGGTTAAAATGCAACTGTGGATATTGGAATTTGTTTCTTTAAAAGGATTGATGCTTTTCAGGTATCATACATTATCAATGAATATAGATGTGGACGGACTCCAAATCCAGATGTCCTTTGCAATACAAGAATCAAATTTGGTTTGTAGTTCTGTCACAAAAGAGCTATTTACTTATTTTGTACTTCCCCCATTTTTTCACAAATTCATTTAGAAGAGGCTTGTTTAATTTTTAGGTGCATTTATGGACACAATAAGTGGAATGGAATTTGACTTTGTTGCTTCTGGACATTATGCAAAGATTGTTCATGCGTCTTCTGATCAACCACTCCAGCCTTCGGTTCTAGAATTGTCAAAAGATGTGGTATGCATTTCTATAAGCTTTTAGATTATTCTCTTGACCATGGTTCTAAATGTTGATGAAGTCTATCATAAGCATGCAAGATACCAGAAGTCCAAAATACCATCAACATAAAATCAAGAAAGCATTCTTTTTGGGTTAAATGAAAGTTGGTATTTTATAAATAATAAAGCATATAATATTGACTTTCCATCTCCCTAATATGCTGTATCTTTATTCTCATTTAAAGCGAAATAGTTTATATTAGATCTAAGAAGAGGGTAATAGCTAATCTGCTAATGCCAAGCTAGGTCTTTGCATATAGTGCTACATTTTTGCAATATTTGAGCATATCTGTTGAGCTTCTTAAACTCGTGTGTTTAATCTTTAAACAACTGTTGTTGACTTATTGTGAAATGGGGGAGTAGAACTTCAACTATTTACGGAAAACACTTCAACCTCACTAGTAGCTTAGGATCTGGCTACGGGTGTCAAACTGATTCCAAAGCTACCATGCTTATAGACATTGCAATAAGTGATATTAAGGTTTTTTTGGATCACATAGAATTCCAGGGTAAGAAAAAGGGAAGGAGAACATGGAGAGAAATTGGAAGAAAAGATAATTTTGGGGGAAATAAAAGAAAATATATAACTCAATAATTATTTTAGATGAATGTTATTACTCATTTTATTAATTTATGTCTACTCTTACAGACTAAGAAATCTAAATATCTTAAAAAATGAAACTATCAACTAATCAAAGTAACAATCATATCTCATTTCTTATGCGAATTTCTGGGATAAAACCTAAGGTGAGAACAAAACTTTCTTTGATGCTATTTTCCTATCCCCAGTATTTTACAGTTTATACACCAAATACACCTTAAGAGAGCAGTTAAATCCAGCAAAAATAAAATGGCATAGGATTCATAATATACTGTATATTCTTTGATACCTTGGATTCCTAGTCAATTAATCATTAGTGTCTGTTTAGTGTTGCACTGAGCTCAGTTCTTCATTTGTCATATATCTGTTGCAGGTAAAGGACCAAACATACTTCCTATCACATCTCTCACAGTCTCAGCTTAAGCGACTTATTTTCCCTCTTGGATGTATTCCAAAGGTTAGGTGAGATCAATATTTTTCTTAAACAAGAAGTCATTGAATATATTTTTATAAAATTGTTTCTTGATATATTTGATATCTGCAGGAAGAGGTGCGCAAACTTGCGAAGTTATTTGATCTCCCAAACCAGGACCGTAAAGATTCACAGGGAATATGCTTTCTTGGCAAGGTTTGTGTTACTTTCTGAAAAGACCATCTTTCCTTTTTGGGACGTCCCAAAAAACTTTGCCACTTTCCTTTTTAATCAATTATTTTGTGGTTCCTATTATTTCTCTCACTTCTGCACAAACCTCAACAACACAGTTTTTACTTTATTATTCTCCGTGCCGGTCAAACTTGGCAAAGTTTTAAGGGACGGAGGTAGTATAACATAAAATGTTGAGGTGGTCCAACTTATTTCCTTCTCCGCCTTCATTTCGCTTATGTTTGCTTCATAAGGAGGGAGGATGGGAAAGTAGAACAGTTTTAAAAGGTGCAACGTTTGGTCCAATGGAGGGGTGATGATGACTTACACATTATTTTAGTATATACTTCGTATAAAATATTTATATTTAATCCCCTCTCTCCGGTTTTGTTGGATAAACTTTCGTATGTAACTTTTTTCTTTCCAATTTATCCTTTTATGCATCATTTCACCTTTTACTATAAATGGATCCGTAGTACTTTTTCTTCCATCTAAAAGTCTACAATTGTAAAACAACTATATCCTTTATTCACATGAAAGCCGTGGAACAAAGGTAGTGCACTTTTTATTGCAATTTCAAATATAGTAATCTATATGTATAACTGTATGAAAATAATGTAGATAAATAAAAGGTTAGGAAGAATTCAGAAAAAAATGTGTGTCCTACGAAATACCCCAAATAAGGGAATATGATATGCGGAGTGTGGAACTGTGGATTTTGGAGAAGTCTATATCTCATCCACTTTCCTCTCTTCTCTTTCCTCCCTACCTCCCCCCTCCCACAAACTCCTCCACTTTCTCCCTTCCCTTCTTCAAAAACCTCTATCAAACAAGGGACCTCGCACTACTAAACTTTGGAGTTGACTCCCCATTTACCTGATAAAGCCATCTAGGTTGTCAAAGAACAAGTAACAATTCTAGCTAGGACTTGTATGTCTGTCACTATTCTGAAGAAGTTACTTCTCTCACAAAAAAAAGCATTTCAAAGTATTTTTTTTTATAGTTCATCATCTTATTTTTATGTCAATTGCTCTACAGATAAAGTTTTGTGATTTTGTTGCAAGACACATCGGGGAGGTAGAAGGGATTATATTAGAAGCTGAAACAGGGGATTATCTCGGAAAGCACAGAGGGTTTTGGTTCTACACTATTGGTCAACGACAAGGTCTACGGCTTCCTGGGGGACCATGGTATGATCTTTCTAGATCGTCTTCTCGTACCATTTTTTGGCCTCAACCTTGGGCTCTTGGACCTCTATGTTTTTGTTATTATATACAACCTGTCCCTTTTTAGTTAAACATATTTGACTTTTCTAGTCAGTGATGGTAAACTATGGTCATTCATTTTATCTACTTTGTATTATATATTTGCAAAAGTTATAAATTTTATACTTTTATGATAGTATTTTTAACAAATAACATTTTCATATCATTTTCATAATACAAATACTCTGTATATAAATATATTATCATTCAAAGTTTAGCATCATTAATTGTAAAAGTCAAAGACGCCTAACTAAAAAGGGACTGAGGGAGTATTAATTTAAAAGTAATTTGCAATATGATTGATTAGATGATGGATCTTTAAAAAGTGTTTATGATTTACTCTGTACTGATTTAACTACTTAGATACAATCATCTCTATGCATTATTGTCACCTACATTAACACACTAGCATATCAAAGGAAACATGAGTAATTGACCCATCATAGGAAAACAAATAATATGTCATCTAGGGAGTGTTTTTTTACTTGATGCAGTAAACATGTAGGCATAATGTGTTATCATCTCTGCATTTCATCTATGTGTTATCATCTCTGCATTTCATCTTTCTATTGAATACAGGTACGTTGTAGAGAAAGACAGTAAGAATAATGTGGTGTTTGTGTCAAGAAACTACTTCTCGGCTGATAAGAAAAGACGCCTATTTCGTGTTGGATCGCTGAAATGGCAAAGTGGTAGCTATCCTGCACATGCAAATCAACTTCAATGCAAGGTAGGCAAGTTCTTTTCTCTGAGCTAGACATGCCTTGGGTTCTTTGATCACCCCATCCTCTTTGTTACATTCTCTTTATTTGATCAGACTTTTAAATTCTCGATCAGGGGCTTAGCTAGGGGAGGGCCAGCCCTGGCCCTGGCCCAGCCCAAATTTTAAAGATATTCTTTGTACCGGCTCAGTCCGGCCCAGTCCCTGGCTTTGCCCCTGTTCCCGATCATTATTAGAAGAAAAGCTCATGCATGAAATTCTTGTGTTAAATCCGCCCCGACCGGTGTTGGATATAAACTGTAAGGCTTGGATGTTGTTGTTGTTGTTTTATTAGTGTTGGACATAAACTGTAGCTGATACAAACAGAACATCCAAGTCTGAAGTCCCAAAAGAGTTTGGAGTCGGCTAACATGACTTAATATGAATGAGAGCTAAAAAAGGATAAAAAAGATAATAAGATCAGAAGATAAAAAGAAAACGAAGATAAAAAAAATTAGAAAAGCTTAAAAGGATATGATAAAGATGAATATACAAAAGAGAAGGCAAGTTACATGCTTTATGTTATGTCTAAGCTTGTGTGTTGTGGAAACAATCAATCACCTTGATAACATCACTTGACATGTCAATTTTAGACCATTTATATGTTAAATTCTTCAATTTATAGCAATAATTTTATAGGTTCGCCATGGCCCCACTCTCTACAACTGTAATTTGGCAATGGAAGTTGACAACAATGGTAAAACAGTTGGTATTGTCCAGCTGTCTCAAGATGACCAAGGGCTGGCAGCAGGACAGTTTGCTGCTTTCTATGATGGGATAACCTGTCTTGGCTCTGGTGTCATCATGGATTCTTGGGATGATCAAGGGTATCCAGTATGCGAAAGGGCTATTGAAATAGCAAGAATGGAGGACAAGTCAATGCTTGGCAGACCAGTGAGAATAACAGTTAAATCAGGTAATACTAATAATCGTTTAATGGAATCTGATCCCAAAGATCATAGAGAGAATCCAAATCCTATTGTTGGTTCTGAAACTATTGAGCGGAATATGTCTTACCAAGGAGAGGATCACTGAGTATTGAATTGGCTAGAGTGGTTAAAGAAGAAGTGGTTACAAGTTTTCTAGTATGTTTATAGGTTGTATTACGGTATATAGTGTGTTACTATATCTCGTGGGATGCACGAGATATTATTTAATTCTTTAAGTTTATGTTCCAAATTATTTAAAATTAATGTAACTTTTATAAATAAAATGTAAATAAATTTCAATATTTTTTATCATAAAACACAAATTATTATCATCCATCAAATTTGTACAACCATGAAATTCTTCAGCATATTCAATTGATTACGGAGTATCATTATTTATTGGTATTTGGTAATATAATACTACGTATTCTGGACCATTTGCATTATAGGAGCACGTTGACTCAAATTCAATACCCAGCGTCCCAGCTCTAACTTCCAACTCCAAACACTAGTGTTCAATGGAGTCACCTGTAATCGTCTCTGATGATCACCGACGATTGTCCCCAGTACTTGCCTTGATATGCTCTGTATAATTGTATTGCAGTTTCGTCCTAAGCATCTGAACAATTATTCCACTTGCATGCTTGGATATGGCAAGGTCACACTTATTTCAAAATTCCCCTTAAATCAACTAATGAAGTGTTTGAATCAACTGGGGCATAGCCCACCCGATAGGAATAGGCATGGATCGGGCCTGGGTTGGATTGGGACTGGGCGGGACTGGGTTTTGGGATTACCGGCCCGGGTTTGAACTGGGACCAGGCTGGGTTGGGTCATTTCTTTTAAATTACTCTTTTCGAATGTATTCCTGTCCCCCCAAACTCCGCCAAAACACCTAGTCCAACCCACCTAGCAGTGCCAATGCCAAAAAAATTACTAGTAAAAAATAATAATAATTTGGCCTTGACTTGCCGAGTTTGTCCACTAAAATTAGGGCCTGTGGCCTGTCCCATAAACAGCCGGTTCGGGGCCCTGGTACCACCCGGCTGGGTCGAGTCAGGCCCGTGCAGTATCGGGCTGGGCTGGATCTTTGATCAGGCGGACTCGTCCCAGTCCATCCCTAGATGGCTGGATATGTAGGGAGTGACACAAAGGAGGGATCTCAAGTTAAACTCGAAGCAAAGACTTGGTATGAAGCCTCATTTTCTTTTCATTAGTGTGAGATCAAGTTCATTTATATCCTCACAAATAACTATGATTTTGAGGGGCCCTTAGGGATGTGGTGTTATTCTTTTTTTATTATGAAGTGTTTGAATCATTTGTATAATTGTATACACCTTGTATCATTTATATTCTTATTATTTCATTTTTATCATATTAACCTTGTTCAAATATAGTTTTCAGCTTTATCCGTATAAGATTTCACAAATTCGTTAGAATTAGTTTTGAAATACATATAATCATTACATTTATCACTACAAATTAAATTAGATGACCAAACAATTTTATTGTCAAATTGTTCAACCGCATTGCTGCTTTTTTTTAATCTTGGGTTTTTATCTTCTTCAACGCCACCTAGTATATGTATTTGATCATTACATTATCACTTGGAAACATGCTTTTATGTTGTATTGCTCGATTCAATACTCTGTACTTCTGTAGTACGTAGTACTCGTATATTACTAGTGTAAAGCCCGGGGCATACCCGGTGGCCTGGTAGCAAGTCAATTGGATATAGTTAAAATGAAAAATATTACTCCGTAATAGATATTGTGAATTTTTTATAGGATCCAAGTTGAATATAATGAATTGTTATTATGAACCAACAACATAAATTTGTTACTTTAGTCAATATCAAGATTTTAAATTGCGGTCATAGTTACTGTGATTGCAGCCGCTGCGGCCGTGCGAAGCGAAATGTCGATATAGTATTACTGCTAGTGTGATTCATATTGTGGTCATACTTTAATCATTATTAATAAATTTTATTATGAATTTTTATTTCATATTGCGGTCATAGTCAGTATGAATTTATTCTTTAATTTTAGTTAAGTATCATATATTAAGTATTTACTCTGTAGTCTATATTTTTTTTATTGCGGCAGTATTGCGATTGCGGTCACTGTGGTTGCAGTTATTGATGCCGATTTTCCAAATTCATAATATTGGAAAATCGGCATATCTCCTATCTTTTCTCCAAATGAGTTGGCCTAATTAGCGTGAATAGGAGGTGATGAACCGTATGAACTTACGGAAATTTAATTGAATGTTTCAATATGAGTGATAATAGAATTTTTAGTAACCAATAAGAGGTTGACACATCATTGAGTTATAACTCAGGTTTACTATATGAAACAATAGATATCTCAATATGTGATGGTAAGAGGGAATTATTCAACATATGTTTATTCAACTTAATTAGCAATCTATTTCATGAATTAAAGTTTTAAAGGTAATTTACACTAAATGTTGATCTATAAACATCTCGGGCCATTTGGTAACCCTATATTTCGGCTTATAATGCTTATGAGCCAACTTTTTCACTGGATATGTTACCTTTGATTTCGCACGCTGAATTGTGTAATAATAAGATAAAGAAAGATTGAAGTTACTTTTCTGGCTGTATTCAGGGGCGGAGCTAATGGTGGACTCAGGTTGGGCCGCCCGATTCATGTGGCTCGGTACCAGGCTTTGACCCGAACCGGAGGTAGTAGCGGCAGCGGGTACGGTCTGCGCAAAAGTTGGCTCGGCCCAGCTGGGCCTGGTTCAGGCCTAACGGCTAGTTTTTTTTTCCCAGCCAAACAAGGCACTAGCCGTTGCCAAAACGGTCCCAAACGGCTATATAGCCGTTGGGGGGGGGTCCGGGGCGTTTGTGGTGGTGGGGGGGGTAAAAAAAAACTTATAAATACTCCTATTTTTATGCATTTTTGTACACCTCTTCTCCAACTCTTCCTACTCTCTAATATTCTATTATTCTTAATCATCTCCAATTCTCCATTTCTCCGTCTTCATCTTCTCAAATTCTCTTATTCTCCATTCTATTTTACTATTTAATAATTATACAATTATTATATCTACTTACATATTAATTATCTACTTATAAATACGTATATTATATTACTTATATTTATTATCAACTTAATCTCTACTTATTATCTACTAAATATCTACTTAATACATACACATTACATCTACTTAATATATACTTTATATATTAAAGTATTAAATATAAGTGTATTATATTACTCATCTTATAGTAATATACTTATATATTATATACTATAAACATTATATTATATTATATATTAGTTATACAATTATTATATCTACTAATATACTTCGAATTATCTACTTATATATACTTAATATCTACTTATTATATACTTGTTATTTACTAATATATTACTTATATTACATCTAATCAATATATTAATTATATATTTATATATATGAGTGTGTTACTCATATTATATACTTATATATACTTAATATCTACTTATTACATACTTGTGATTTAATACTCATACTTATAATTGTCTACTATACACAATATATTATATATTAGTTACACTTTAATTAAAACTAGTTAAATACATTCTATTACTCCCATTAATTAGTATCCGCATTCATACAATTGTCTTATCAGTTACATTTTTTAAACATTATTAGTTGATTACTTATTTGTTACATTTTTTATTAAAGTAGTACATTAGTTCATTAAATATTTTAATTAATTGTTACCTTTGTAACTACTTTACAAAACTAGTTAATTGTTACGTTATAGTAGTTTCAATTTTTCTTTCAAAGGAAATAAGTAGTTCAAATTATTTTATTAAAGTGGTTTTCAGTACTTGGAAATTTTCTATAATTAATATAATAATCGCATTTTAGTTAAATTCACATTTTAATTAAAGTAGTTCACATTTCACTCGAATTGTTTTTATAAAAAAAATATTACTTAGAATTTTATTTCATTAAACTACAATTGTTAGATTGAAGTATTAATTCAAATAGTTTTAATAAGTTGCTTTACTTTTTTACTCATATTAATATATTTGTTCCAATTTAATATTATTTACATTTTTAAAGATGAATCGTGGTAGATGTTCGGTTGATATGGGCAACCTTCAACGCAATCGAAAGAACGAGATCCAAAGGAATAATCCTAGTACATGCAAATTAAAGGTAAACGACACATCAGGTCTTCTTCTCAAACCCGAGATGATTTTGAAACGGATTACCAACGGAGAGACGGGTATGCGATGTCCGACATGCAACTACAACAAGAATTGGACCAACATAATAACCGCATTTTCCAACAACAAGACATCCCGACGACCATTGACGAAGAAGAGCTCGAGGATGACGATGCGGACGAACTTCAACCGGAGACGGTCGAGGACGAGGGTGACGGCACCCACGACGACGACGAGCCCACCTCATCCCAACCCGGTAAGAAAAAAAGTAAATCTGAACCTATGGAAAATAATTTTGATAAGTGGAAGGATGCGGAGACCGGGAATTAGTACGCAACTTGCAAGTGGTGCCACAAAGATTATAGCTTGGGGATTTCTGGCGGATACAGATCCGCCGCAAGGCATCTTAGGGCCAAACACATCGTGGAGTATGCAAAATTAGACAAAGGAAAGGGGAAACAAACTCAAATATCGAGGTTTGCAAATAACCAACCTTTTGGTAATTTCTCATACAATGATGCACAAAATTTGAGTGGTATGTCTAACTTAATTGTTGAAGAAAATTTGCCTTATTTGTTTTCTGAAAGTCTTGCTTTAAGAGATTATGCTCAAGGTAGTTTAAATCCGCAATTTAGAAATTATAGTCGCAAAATAATTAAGAAAGAAATTATAAGGCTTTATGGTGCGGAAAAGGCAAGTTTACAAATTTTTTTCGCAAATTTTGATGGGCGTGTTACTATTTGTTGTGACATATGGGAGGATACTTATCATCATTTACATTATTTGGGTCTGACTGCACATTATATTGATGATGATTGAGAAATGCATAAATGTGTTCTTGCTTTTTGTGAATTTAATGATCGTCACACCGCTGATAATATATATATTCTGATAGCGCGTATTTTAATTGAGTATAATTTGATTGAGAAGGTGTTTGCTATGGGTTTTGATAATGCTAGTAATAATACTGCTGCTATACCTAGGTTGCGTGAATTGTGTGGTTCTACTACTTTGATGGGTAAATTTTTTCATCAACGATGTGTATGCCATATTCTCAATTTATGTGTGCAAGACGCTTAAATGAGGTCAACTAGAATCCGCGTTAACCTTGAACAGATTCTAGTCCCCGAATTTGGGTGGATTTTCAACATGAGAAGCTACCAAATTTTTTCGTTATTTGTGGCGTTATTGATCACTCTGAAAAGTTCTGTCCGCTCGTGTATGAGGAAGGGTTAGTTTTGGAAAAAAGGTTTGATGTGCCGCTTAGGGCAGGAAGTGGGGTGAAGAACAGTCCTACAGAAAAAAATAAATGGCTAGTCGGAAAAGGCTCAAACTCAGGCAGGAATTCACAGGAATGGGAGACTTGAGGTCTAACGGAGGAGCGAAGGGGAGAAGGAAGATACGGCGATCTCGGGTAGTGACTCTTCCAAGGAAGTGGTTCTGAAACAGAATGAAGAATCAACAGGGGAATAGAAGCGCAGACGTATTTGGGAGGCAGGGGAGGCACAACACCAGGGGGATGGGATGGCACTAGACGGAGCAAAAAATGGAGGGGAGGGGAGCTTAGAGGCGTAAGCTTGTCAGCGGCTGGGATGCGGGAGGGGGATTCAGAGTGGTACCTCCTGATGTTCGTTGGAAGACTCAGTTAGGCCTGGGACCGGTTCGGTTCCTAGGCAAAATATGTGGAACCGTTTGAAAATATGAAATTTTACTAACGGTTCGGTTCTTATAAATTATTTTATAGAACCGATAAGGAACCGAACCGTTCTTAACGGTTCGGTTCTTGTCATTTAACGGTTCCTAGTTTTTGAAAAAATTCTTACAAATTACAACTAAATTTTTGGCAAAAATACATTCAACGTTGGAAATTACAATATAAATATGTTGAACCAGTTAAGGAGAACTAATAATTTTAAATAGTTTGGACCTTTCGAGTTCCGACCCGCTGGAGTTTGGACCTAATGAGAGGCCTAAGAAGTCTAAGAGAACCGGTTGAAGTGAATAATAGTTTTAAATAATTAAATAACAAAACTAAAACAATGAATGTAATATAAAAATAAGTAAGTAAATATGCATTAAAATATATATACTCCTAAGAATATGTATATAATTTTAATTATTATATATAACGGTTCCTTAACGGTTCTTGGTACATATTTTTTTCAGGAACCGAGAACCGAACCGTTAATAAAAAATAGGAACTGAACCGTTAACAAATAACTAATAAATGTTGGAACCGAACCGAACCGGGTCATAACGGTTCGGTCCGGTTCGGTTCTCCGGTTCTTGGTTCCAAAGTCCCAGCCCTAGACTCAGTGATGATTGTTACTTTATTATTTTTATTTTTGTTGACTGTTTAATGGTTTCTAGCTTGTTTCTTTTATTTGTTTGCAATTGTAAGACGATGATTTTGAGTTTGGATGTGGGTGATGATTTAACTGTGATTACCATCGTTGGCTCAGTTCTGTCCATAAATGGATTAGCTAGTTATATTACCAAGGTGATAAACTCTTAGTCTGGTTCGCGGGACAACATTTTTCACAAGTTTTATTGTCGTTATACCTACCCTCAGAATGATTTGATATCAATGTAAGACGCTTTCATAAAAAAAAAAGCTTCTAGTTTTTTATTTCATTTCTTTTACTCCGGAGGATTTGGGAGGAGGGGGGGTTGGGGTCATCAAGTCTGAAACTCACTTCATTGAGTTTCGAACTCTTATGTGCCTAGCAAGTTTCAAACTGTGGTGTCCCACTAGACACGGTAACCTCATAACAAGCTGAGCTGGAATGATTGGTTGTTATAGGAACATAGTGCATGCATATCCATGTCACTATGCTGAAAAGTGAAAAGGGGGTTAGGCATCCAAGTGCGCATCCCTGACTTGCTTCGTCCACTGGTTATCTAAAATAACTTACTCCTCCGCCCTTTCCATTGTAGGCCGCACATATATGTATGCAATTGGTACACTGTTTTTAGGACCTTCCTAACCAGTTCTTCTTCAAACACTTCTACAATTCTGTCAATTTTACTATTCAACCCATGCTAAGAAAAAGAACAAAACAGAATCTTTTTTGTCTACGTCTTTTAACTTTTCAAATGGAAAATTTACACTATGGTCCCAATAAATAATACTCCGTAATAAATAAAATGTTACATTCGGAGCTATCACGGTCTCTGTTAGTTTATTCGCGTATAATTCGCGTATAATACACTCAAACGTATAATTCGCGTATAATACTCCCGTTTATGAATTTTTCAAAAAATAATGAAAAATTCACGTACTTTAAGGAAAAAATGTATAATACACGTACCATACGTATTGATACGTATTTTATTCACGAATAATACTCCCGTTTATAAATTTTTCAGAAAATTCTGAAAAACTCACGTACTTTAAAGATAAAATGTATAACACACGTATTGTATGTATTGATACGTATTTTATTCTTAAACACACACCATTAAACGGAAGTCTAATGGAGTGATACAACTGAAACGAAATGTCTAGCACTCTAGCTGCTCAATATTATTTATATTGCTTTAAAAAACTTTATGCCTTATATGTTTGTTAATTGTTTAATAGTCATTACATTTAATAAATTAGCTTCTTAAATTCTTAATCCGTTTCGACATTACTATTGTACTCCCTCCGTCCCAAAATGTTTGGCCAATGTTGGCTTGCACGTGGATTAGTAAAGTAAAAACTGTGTGGTTAAAATTTGTGCAGAGGAAAGAGAATTAATTTTAGCCACATATTCTTTACTCTAAATGGAAATGACCAACCTTTTTGGGATGGCCAAAAAAGGAAATTTGGCCAACCATTTTGGGACGGAGGGAGTATTACTATTGTATTACTTTTGTTCTTCACTCATACCAAGACTCCAAAGAGATCGAAAAATGTTGTGGTGGTTCACCAAACTCACGATCACAGTAATATCAACTATTCTTTGGTAATATCTCTGTACTTCTACTCAAATAGGCAATGTCATTTTTATTACTTATTGTACCTATGCATTCTTTTTTTTTTCTTTTTTCTTTTTTCTTTTTATTGTACCTATGCATTCAAATTTGTACTGATAACTCTTTATTTCTTTCATTAAATTAATATATAAGACACATATTATATGCCGTATTTTAAAAATGTGAAACGTTTAAAACACGTTCGTATCTTTATATATTTCACGAACGTATGGAACATATATTAAGCCGTATTTTATATAATTGTATCGTATTATACACGAACGTACGTATTATCGTATTATTCACGAACCGTATATTACTAACAGAGATCACGGTACATACTTCAGGGGTTGATGAGTGGATCTAGAAATTTATGTAGGATTGAACTGAAAATAATACTCCGTAATAATATTAGACTTAAACAATTAAGATACCCTCTAAATGATTAATTAAAATGAAAAGTTCACATACACTACAAATTTCAAGAAAAATATTAGGTTAGCTCAAGGTATAGCCCATAATGTAGATCATCCTCTGAGCAATGGCGGAGTCAGAGTTTTTTCGAAGCGGGGCATGCTGAAGGCTAAGAATTTTGTGTGTTTACTCAAAATATAACAAAAACAATAAATATGTAATACATTGGCACAAAGTAGTTCATTACATATTGCTTGAGTCATATCTCAATCTCGGCAAATCAATTATACAAGTTTTAATTTGTTCAAAATGTTGTATAATAATTTTATGTTGGAAAAACACGACCCCATCCTTTTCCAAGGTCACGAGCTCATAGACTCTTGTACACTTATATATCCACATGCTCAAAATACAAAAACTCAATCTTACAGTATCACTTTGTATTACCCTCAGTCACTTTTTGTATATGAGAATGTTTCATTGTACCTAACTTGATAACATACACTTCATCAAATGATATCATTGAGCCTTCTTCTCTCACAAGAAGGCTCTCACTCTCCTCTTTCAAGGAGACTCTCACTTTCACTCACTCAAGAGCTCTCCTCAAAGTTCTCATATAAATGAAAAACTTCCCTAGAATTTTTATACACCATTACACATCTAGATTCTTCCAAAAAATATCCACACGCTCTTCTTATCTTTTGGAAGGATTTAGAAAACCCCATAATTCTTCAAAATGTTCTAGAGGCTTCCACACATTTCCACACGATTTTAGTGAGTACCACACTTTTCTAGAAAACTCCACATTATTATTATAGAACATTCAATACTTCTCTACACACATATATAGAATCTTGGACATCTCTAAAGATTCTAAAATTCTCATGAATTTCTCCACTAAGGAGGGAATCCAACATAGTCTCGAGAATGTTTTGATCTTTTTGTTACAAAAAATGTGACAACATATTCGTCAAACTCAAAACTTTCTTGCTCACAGCTCACTATAACCACGAAAAACCAACTCGTGTGTCATTAAATGTCTAAAACAATTCACACTTGCATTCAAATGAGTGTGGTATGTTGCAACCAATACTTGTATTCCTATGTTATATAGACACATACGTTTTCTGAAAGACTTTGCCTTTTATTTTAACACTTAATCTAAAATTGTCCTTAATTGGTATTTATTTTTATAAAAAAGGAGGGTCATTAAATATATTATATTATCCTCCGTTTTTTTTAAACGCAACATGTTGAATTTTACATTATTCACAAGTTCTACTTTGACTACATTTTACACTATTATTTTATGAAAATTATTTTTTTAAAAAAATATTGTTCAATTCATCGATCACATTACAAATTTTCAAAATATGATTTTTAAATATTTTTTACTAATAGAGATTAAGATATAATTACAGTCAAAGACGTGTGTTGGCAAGTGTGAAATGTTGAATGTTGCAACTAAAAAGAACGGAGGAAGTAATTAGTAGTACTTAAAAAATTTGCCCGAAGCGGGGACGCTTGCCCCCTCATGCCCCTCCCTATCTCCTCCACTGCCTCTGAGTACTCTAATTTCCCCTGCATTTAATGGAGGATTAAGCGTTTCATAATGAGCTGTTTTAAAGCTAAGTAATTAAGAAATGTAATATTCTTTGATTAGTAATTTTGCTGCGAAAGTGGCTGGGAGTAGGAGGACGCTTAATGGAGGATTAAGCGTTTCATAATGAGCTATTTTAAAGCTAAGTAATTAAGAAATGTAATATTCTTTAATTAGTAATTTTGCTGCGGAAGTGGCTAGGAGTAGGACTGTAGGAGGACATAACTGTGAAAATATGTTTCGTTTATTCTTGCTGATTATCCGTGATGATGATGTGCATTCAAATAAGATGGTTTCTACGTACGGTTCGCATTTTATAAAGGGAAAAGGTACATATATATGTACCCTGTAGTATATGTGGAGGAACAAATATATCCTTCTTCTATTTTTCGAAACAAATATCCCCTAAACTTTTAAAAAGGTGCAAAAATATCTCTCATGTTTTTATAAAGGAGCAAATTAAACTTATTGACTTTAAATTAATAAAATAAATTTGAAAAATAAATCAAAAATAAATTAAAAATTCGAAATTAAAAAATAAACAAATTTAAAAATGTAATTGTGTCCAATTCTCCCTTTATTGTTTTTGTATCACAATTTAATATTTTTGTATAAAATGTGTAAATTAATAGTGCAAAGAATGCAAAAAAGTAATTTTTCTTTATATTGCAACACATATGTTAGCACTTTTTCGAAAGAATCTTGAGCATATAGTAAAATTTTGAAATAATATTTTATATGTAACAATATTAAATTGTGATATAAAAACTTTAAAAGGGAGAATTGGACAAATTAAAGTTACATTTTACAATTTTATAAGTTGGACGAAGCTAGTATATAATAAGTTATGTAATGGACTAGTACCTAATGGAGTACCTACTTCAAATCCCCCGTCACAATTTTTACCTAAATTGTGATATAGATAGCACTACTTATCATCCTACGTATCAGTTTATGTAATGGAGTACCATTAAACAGTGAAGTATAAGGCTTTAATTTTCTTAAAGTAATTTTATACTTCGTATTCTGTAACGTTTAAATTTGTAAATTAGTCAAATTAAATTATAAATTTATTGTTGTTCTGTGCCTGGAGTACCACACTAGGTATATAAATGATAAAACGAGTTTGAAAACTATTTATACCTCCATATAATAGCCATGTGTAGAGCATGAGGATGATAATGGTACTTCATTACATAAAGACATAAAGTCATAAACTGATACGAGTATATAAGTTGGAATCTCACGAGACTCGGCAAGTGAGGACTATGGGATTTTGAGAAAAAAAAATGATTATGAAAAAATAAAAGTTAGTTGTGCAGTGTTTTATAGAATAAGTGTTTTTTGTGTAATAGAAAAAGTAAAAAACAGTTTAAAACAC